GGAAGAGGAGAAAAAGAAGGAGCAGCTCGAAAGTAGATCAGGGCCAGGTGGTGAGGGTGCTATGCTATATGCTATAAAATTGAAACTTTGTCTGAAGCAGAGGGGGAGCCACTGAAATTTTGAGGGAGTTGATGTGATTAAGAATAGCATTTTAGAAAGAACACTGGATTAACAGCATGGAAGATGGGTTGAAGTTGAAGGTGGGCTGGGGAGAATGGAGATAGGAAGTTACTCTACAATGTTTTCCTTCTGTTTCCCCAAAAGAAGCTTCTGGAGAGTTGAAAACACTTTCTTTGCCCAGCTTCTGGATTCTACAGTTGCAAGCCCAGGATGAGAGGGACATGTTTGGCTACCTTTGAAGAAGGCTAGTTAAATAGCTAAGAGCAGACTATTTATGGTAGAAAGTTCTGGGTTCAAATCTTCACTACATCCCTTATTAGCTGTAGATCTAGAGTTGGTTGCTCACCTTTTCTAAGCATTAATGTCCTCCTTTGTGGAGAGAGAATGATTACATCTATTTCACAGGGTTGCTCTAAGGATTAAATTATATAATGTAGATAAAAGCATGTAGCTTTTTTTTTTTTTTTAAAGATGACCGGTAAGGGGATCTTAACCCTTGACTTGGTGTTGTCAGCACCACGCTCAGCCAGTGAGCGAACCGGCCATCCCTATGTGGGATCCGAACCCGGGGCCTTGGTGTTATCAGCACCGCACTCTCCCTAGTGAGTCACAGGCCGGCCCAAAGCATGTAGCTTTTTTTTTTTTTAAAGATGACCGGTAAGGGGATCTTAACCCTTGACTTGGTGTTGTCAGCACCACGCTCAGCCAGTGAGCGAACCGGCCATCCCTATGTGGGATCCGAACCCGGGGCCTTGGTGTTATCAGCACCGCACTCTCCCGAGTGAGCCACAGGCCGGCCCAAAGCATGTAGCTTTTTCTTTTCCATGATTAGATTGCATGTGCACACGTGTGTGTGTGTTCTCCATTGCATAAAAGGAGTCACCTTAAAGGATTTCAAAGTCTCTTTCCTTCCTGTAAAGGCACAGTGGAAAGATCATGAGCTTTAGAATCATAAGAGGCAGTGTTAAATCCCTCCTCTACCAATAATCATAAAAAATGTAACACAGAGACCCAAGCAGTGTTCTAAGTGTTTAACCCATACTAATTTGTATAATTCTGACAACCTAAGCAACCCTAGGAGGTAGGTCCTATTATCATTTTTATTATACAATTGAGAAATCTAAGGCATGGAGATACTAAACATCCTGTTCAAGGTTATATGGTATTGGGATGTGAACCCAGGCAGCCTGGTTCCAGGGCCTGTGTGTTTGACTGTGCTGCAATAGATACAACAGACTTCAGAGACTGACTAAGAAGCGGGGAGTGAGGAACAGGGAGGAATCACAGATGACGTCCATGTTTCTGGCTTGCAACTGGATAGCTTTTGGTGTCATTATTTGGGCTGAGACACACACTAGGGAATAGCAGGTTTGGGAGGAAAGAGAATTAGTTCCTTGTGAGACAAGTTGAATTTGAATTCCCCAGGTGACAGCCACGGGCAGATCTCCAGAGCATTGCTAGACATATAGGACCCAAAGATTTTAACAGGAGCTATATATTTGAGAATCATTGGCATCCAGCCATGGAATGGATGTCTTAAAAAGAATGTTCAGAATTAGGAAAGAAGATGACTTGAGAAGAACTCCAAGGAAAATCAGTATTAAGGGGCAGGCAAAGGAAAAGTCCTTCATAATGGAGATGAGAAGGAGCAGCTAGAGACAAGAGGAATACAAGGAGAATGTGTTACTACAGTAGGAGAAGGACATTTCAAATAGCTAACAGTGTCAAATGCAGAGCTCAGTAAAGTGAGGTCTGGAAAGTGTCCACTGAAAGGAGTAACAAGGTGACCTTGGAGAGAATTGTTTCAGTAAGTCGATAAATGCAACAATCAGAGTGCAGAGGGCTGAGGATTGAATGTGGGGTGAGGATGTGGAGGCAACAAAGAACTTCACTAAGAAGGATTGCTCGTAAAGGGAGAAGAGATATCTGGAGAATGTGCTGTAAAGATTTATTTAATTAATCTACTTTTACAATGAAAGATATTTGAGAATACTCAAATGCTAATAAGAAGAATACAAGATAAAGTGAGAGGATAAAGTGTACACATAGAAGAAATTATCTGTTGAGTCCTTGAAAAGGTGTAGGGGGTGGATCCAGAACATGGATGGAGAATGCAGCCTGAGCAGGAGGAGGGAATTTTTTCTTTGTAAGAAGAAAGAGAAGAGAGGAAAGAGAAGGAAGATTTTTGATTTCATTGTTGGAATAGACGGAGTTCTTGATGACTTTTTCTCTCCCAAGTAGGACTTATTACTTGTGAGTGTGGAGACAACGGAATTCGAGTTTAGAGAAGAGAGAAGGTTTAAAACAGATCCGGTAGAGTTAGAGATCAAACTCATTGAGGAAACAGAAGAAATCTCAGGCATTTAGTGAGAGCCCATAAATTGATTGTGGCACCAACCTGCACAGTTATTTTCTCTAGCTAAATGGTAGATTTGGAGAAGACAGAGAGGTCTAGAGTGGGGGTTTTGACAGGTAGGCCCAATGAAAGACAATGGGGATTACAGATGAGAATACTGGTAGGAATGGGGCTAAAATGATGCATAGTGTGTAGAGTCTAACCTAGGATCCAGGAGAATGCAGAAAGGAGCTGATAAAGAGAGGGTAGAGGAGGTCAGGGACTTTAAATTCTAGTTAAAGTTAAAGAGCAGTGTGTGGTAGACAGCCTCTAAGATGTCCCCCAATGATCCTGCCTCCTGGTTTTCATGCCCTTGTATAATCCCCTCCCCTGAAGTTTGGGTTGGACCTAGTGACTCTTCTAATGAATAGAATATGGCAAAAGTTATGGGATGTTACTTCTGGGATTCGGTTCATAAAAACTGGCTTCTGTCTTGCTTGTCCTCTCTTGCTCTCTCTCTTGCTTGTTCTGATGGATACTAGCTGCCATGTTGTGATCTCCTCTATGGAGAGAACCATATTGCAAGGAACTGAGCCATCAAGAAACTGAGGCCCGAGGTCCAACATTCCTGAGGAACTGGATCCTGCCAACAACGACATGAGTGAGCTTGGAAACAGATGTACCTTCAGTCAGAGGAGGCACCTTCAGCTGAGACCACAGTCTCCCCACCTCCCATCTTGATTGCAGCTTTGTGAGAAACCTGGAGGCAAAGGCACCCAGCCAAGCCATGCCCAGATTCCTTACCCCCAGAAACTGAGATTAATGCTCACTGTTTTAATACTTAAGTTTTGCGGTAGGTTGTTAGGCAGCAATAGATAACTAATACAAGGTATAAAATAATTAACTGAATGAGAAGGGAGAAAAGACAGCAATTATGATCAGAGAACTGGGTGTTTGAGTTTACAACTTCAGCCATGAAGTTATAATGTTTCAGGTGTAGTGGAAAGGTTGGCTAAACTGGTATAGAGGTCAAATTCACTGAAGATGAGGTCAAGGGGCCGAGAGGCCAGTGTATTAGATAAGTCATGATCATAAATACCGAAGCCATTCAGGATCATTGGCTGGAAAAGAAAAGTGTGCACCTGGTGTCAACAATTTCAATGAATGACAAGGTAGGAGTTGGGCTGGGTAGACAATCTCAACTAGAAGGAATGAACTTACACAAAGATTTTTTGTTTTCTTTTGGTAAAGAGGGTGGCGAATACGTGGTATGGAAGGGGCCCTAGACATCTAGGAAGATGCTTACACCAAAACTTGACCCCGGGATATGTAAAGTATGGGAGAATAAGCAAACAATCTCATTTCAAAAGAGCTTCCGGCCGGCCCGTGGCTCACTCGGGAGAGTGTGGTGCTGATAACACCAAGGCCCTGGGTTCGGATCCCATATAGGGATGGCCGGTTAGCTCACTGGGTGAGCGTGGTGCTGACAACACCGAGTCAAGGGTTAAGATCCCCTTACCGGTCATCTTTTAGAAAGGAAAAAAAAAAAAAAGAGCTTCAGGGGAAGTGGTATCATCAGATAGGGGTTACGATTAAATGACATAATACATGTAAGGTCCTTAGCTCCACATAGCGGGCACTAGACGAATAATAGTTCTCACTAAACAGTCACTTAATCGTAAGCCCTTGCTCTGCCGTCCCCCGCCACCTCTTTACTCAAAAAGCTGGGGCTAGGTGAGCGGATCCGGCGTTCAGAGGCGCTCAACACACTCGGTCAGGGGCTGCCTCCGACAGGCCCGGGGAGCGCGTGTAGCAAGGCTTTTCCTTACGTCACTGGAGCAGCTGGGAAGAGGCCGAAGAACGAGGGTCATTCTCCTCCGTCCACATGACACGTCATCCTAAGAGACTCCATCAACAAACATAAACGGAAGGCCTTACAAGTGCTAAACCCAACGGCACAAATACCAGCGAGACACTCCTGACCGGAGGGAAGGAGCACAGCTGCGTTCCGGGTCAAGGCCAACATTGGTGGGAGGTTTCACAGCGCTCTGACTTTTCCAAGTTCTCTCCATAGTTTTAGCTGAGGTAAAATGTCGGAAGTCGGTGTGCAGCCCGTACCGAGTCCCTCCGGGACCTGCGCTCCGTGCCTGTCTTCTTCCAGTCCTCACTCTGAAGTTCCGCAAAACCCACCCGGTACGCCGGCGCCCACGTGGGCTCCCCGGGCCCGCGGGGCGGGTCACAATGGGCGGGGCCGAAGGGCGAGGCTGGCCCCGCCTCCGGGGCTCCCATGGCCCCCCGCGCCCCGCGGCCAGATGCTGACGTGTCCTTTCCTGCCCACTACACCTCCCGACACTATCTACTCCGGCTGCCCCGGAAGTCCCGCCCCACACTTAGCCCGTCACCGCAAATCAGCTCTTTCAGCGCTTCCTGGAGCTCGCCACCAGTTTGGGGACCAAGGGGCGGGGCTCGGCAAGCAGGGTGCCTATTGGCTTGTGGTCCGGCGGGCTCTGGGCGCTAATTGGCCGGAGGGCGGTGGCGCTCTGGCACGCTTGCGCGGCGAGTAGAACGTGTGGTGGCGGCGGCGGCCGCGTCTCCTCTTTCGCTCGGAGTCCAGCTGCTGCTCAGCGCTTCCGTCCCATCCATCGCCTGCAGCCGGTCGCCAGCCCGTCCCTCGCCTCAGCGGCCTCTCACCAACAGCTCCACTCACGTTGACACCTCCAAGCCGGCCAGTCGCCCCATTCGTTGCCTTTGCATCTCCACACATGGCGTCCTCTGCACAGAGCGGCGGCTCCTCCGGGGGACCCGCGGTCCCCACCGTGCAGCGGGGCATCGTCAAGATGGTGAGAGTGGGGCCCCGGACACCGACGCCTCCGCCCGCCTTTGGCTGGGAGTCAGATATTGACTCCTTTTCCTCTCCCGCCAGGCTGCATGGTCGGTCTGTCAGATCCCCTCCTCACTTTTCACTTGTCCTCCAAATCCGCTCACTAGACGGAACCCGACGCGGACTCCCCTTGATCTTTGCCTCCCGGACACGCTGACATCAGGGGTCACAGTGATTTCCGTGGTCGCGGCATTCGGATCTCTTGGCTGTTGAGTAGGACAGGTCGATTACCGATTGATTAACAGATAATTCGTTGGTATCTGCCTTCGCGTCCCCTTTCTGTCCATTTTGGCATGTGCTGAGCAGTTTGCAGTTTTTCGAAATCCTGTCATCCACTCTCCTGGAACCCTAGAGTACTTGGCCATCATGAAGCTTTTCTGTTTCTACCGACGCTCAATTACTTCAAGTTTTCTCGTTCTCTGGCCCTCTTTTCCCCGTCTTTTCCCCTCCACCTCTTGTATCTAGTCTGTAGGCCTGAGAGCTCCGGATCTTTGCTTCCTTCTTTTGATTCTTAAAATGTTACGCGGGCAGTAATCTTAGCGATCATTATCCTTCTCCCACTTACAGATAAGGAGACAGGCTTAAAAAGGGCAGGTGACATGTCTAAGGTCACATGGTGGTTTGGGTTGGAGCCAGGACAGGAGCCCAAGTGTTCTGATTCCTAATGTAGATTCTGCCCGATTTATATCCCCTCACTTTCTACATTCTTGAATTTTGAATTTAACCTTGCAAGGTTCATTTTTAAAATTTACCTCTAGCTCCATGATATTTTTGTAATATAAATTGTTTTTATCATCTGCCACCTCTATTGTCCTCCCAAACTTTGGAACCTGACATTTCTTGATTGTTACCAGGTTTTCTGGTTGTGATATGGTTTATAACCATAAACTCTTAGAGTGCATTTCAGACTGTAGTTCTGATATTTCCATCTGGAACAGCAAATAACCTTTATGATACTTTCTTCCAAAGTACCACAGTTTTTGCTGTTGTAGAAAGTTTTTTTAAACAATTCTGTTTTATTCTCCCATTGTCTTTCGGGGTTTTAAAATGTTTTGCAGCTTGTGTGTGTGTAAATTCGATTTCAAAATCAACCCCCTCCCCAATTCTCATATGTTTTATTTCTTAGGTAATATTCTGCTGCTAGCTGAAATTCTTGGGATTTTCAGTGTTGCCTTTTCCTTTTATTTATACATAATGAAGGGTCAGATTTTTTCAAAAAATGAAACAAAATTTCCAAAGTCCACATATTTTTCCCCCTTTGAAATATTGGCCTGACCCATGAAAGCATTATCCTGAAGTGGCTCCTCCTCATTAGCTTTTTCATTTGCAGTGATCTTACTTCACCATAGGAACAAAGCATCAGTTGGCTCTCTGGTTTTGGGATTGGCAGTACTGAATGGATCTTTTTAAGTTTTTCCCGTGTTAAGGCTTGAACTTTTCTTAAAGGCCCCTCTCATTTGTGGGATGGGAGTGGAATGAGCCTGAGCATATTTTTGTTTCCACAAGTGCTAGAGGCTTCCAGGGCATCTGGATTCTATGAGGTGACCGCGCCTGCCCACAAATTACTGAATATCAACAATCACTAGTTTATTGTCACATCTTGCCTTGTTCCTTCCTACATAAGGTTAATCTGCTTATATTATAACATTTGTAATATCTAACAAGTAGATGCGATTACTGGCTACATTTTACAGATGTGTAATCTGAGGTTTAGAAAGAGCAGTGTACCCAAGGAAAGGTACTTTTTATTGGTAATAAGAAGCAGAACTGAGTCTCGAACCCAGGCTTGTCTGCCAGAGCACATGCTCTCCAGCAGCATGCTCTGATGCCTCTGACTCTAGGACTCCAGGGTATTACTTTATAACATGGAGGGTGGGGCCAGTGATGCATGGCCACAAATTGCAGGAAAGTGAAGCTGACTGCAGTTGAGTTGAGGAAAGATTAGATGTTACTCCTTGTCTTGTCTGGAAGCTGTTCATGTGGTAAGTGACTTCCTTTGGTGCCTTTGGTCTTCGTGTGCACTGGAGTGTGGTGTGGAAGACGTTTGAGTCTGGGAGGTGGCATTTAAAATGCAATGATTTGAACAATCTATTCTGTGTATAGACGACACTGCACACACTGACCACACTGCACGGAGTAGGTTGGTGAGTTACAGGCAGGGATTAGGAGAGGGAAGCTGGGTGAACTGCAGAGTGACAGATTTGTGCCAGGGCTTAGAAGCCTTGTCTGGAATGAAAAATCGACCACTAGCAAATTGCTCTGTGTGAAGCTCTTCTGCTAAGCAAAGTTGTATTTTCCTGGAAAGTAATCGTTTGCAGTGTGTGGTACTAGGAACTGCTTTGTAAGAATTCTACAAAAGGAAGATGGAGCTCTGTGACAGAGGAAAGTGAGAAAGATGTAGTTTAATGAATAGGAAAAAGGAATCACTACTTTTCTGCCATTTGGGAGAGGAGCAGAAAGTGGAACACTGACTAATCAGAGTTATGCTTTTCATTGTGAGCCCTCAGATTTGTCTGGACTTCAGGCTGAGCAGAAGGTCTGAAATGGTCTTGGGCTGAGGTTTGCTGCAGTGATGAGGAATAGCTCTTCCTCTTTTTCCAGGAAAGAAAGTGTTATAGGGCTGTGGAAGGTAGAAGTTTCTTCTGGTCTCTGCTTTGCCATCCTAGTAAGTCCTGTGTTACTTTTTTTTAAGTTGAAGAAAGACCTTAGAAGTCAAGTAAAAATCTTGCACCAGTTTTTTTTTTTTTAAATGATGGTGGTGGTATCAGTTGTGTCTACTATTGAGCATGGGAATAAAGGGACAGAGTTGGTTGTAGAATGTGGTTAAGGAGGAAGTGGGCAGCAAGTTGACACAAGCAGTTTGGAGTGTTCTGTTATTGAAAAAGGTCAGTGAAGATGATGAAAAAACTGAAGATGGATTTATATTTTCTGAGACTAGCAGGTATGTGGGTAGACAAAATACAACCTGGATAAGTAAATGTCCTTGTCAAATTAGATCTTATTTTCTGAAAACTCTGAAGGATTCCAACTCTGGGTTTCTTTGAATAAGTTGCTAGACCTCCTTTAGCTGCAACAGAATATTGTCAGTAGATGTTAAATAGATGAGGTTGGGAGAAGTCTAGGAGTACTTAGTATAAAATTCAGTCACCTCACTTAGAGATGGCTGTTTCTCTGATTTTACTGACCTGTTTATTTTCTGTTTGGGGGGTAGAGCTCTCTTCCATGTCTTTTCACTCTAATTTTCCCTTCTAATTTGGTATGTTTGCAGGTCTTTTCTAGCAGGAGAATATGGGCTACTTTCACAACAGCAGAATGAATCGGCCCCAGTTCTTGAATCTTCTATGCTTATCAGAAGCAGCCATGGAAGCAGCATATCTTATCCTGCTTATAGTGTGGAAGGCCAAAGGGAGGACAGTGCCAAGTCCCAGTTCCCATTTCACTCCACCCTTACCCTCCACTCACTTAATTGCTTCAGAAGGGGAAAGGAATCCCTGTGCCAGTCTTCAGTTTTATACCAGGAACCATGATTCTCAGTGAGTGACTAAGGCAGAGGGACACCTAAAAGAGGAGATGGCCATAATTTTCTCCTTCAGTAGGACTTGTGCTACCACATTGTAAAGCAAGATGTAGACTTCCTGCTAAGTGGCTTAGTGGAAATTTCTTCAGTGTACAGCCTTTAGGAAATGCTACCTGTAATTTAGTTCATTATAGCTAGATGTTTCTTAGGTTTCTGAACTAAGAAGTATGTGTTTTTCTTTTTTTTTTTTTTTTAAAAGATGACCGGTAAGGGGATCTCAACCCTTGGCTTGGTGTTGTCAGCACCATGCTCAGCCAGTGAGCAAACCGGCCATCCCTATATAGGATCCGAACCCGTGGCCTTGGTGTTATCAGCACCGCACTCTACCGAGTGAGCCACGGGCCGGCCCAGAAGTATGTGTTTTTCAAGAGTTAAGTGGGGACAGAGTAGTCTGTTGACTTGTTCCTTCCAATGTGCACTTAGCTCCTGCAGAAAAACAAAACAAAAAACCTTTCTTTTTTTTTTTAAAAAGACGACCGGTAAGGGGATCTTAACCCTTGACTCGGTGTTGTCAGCACCACGCTCACCCAGTGAGCCAACCGGCCATCCCTATATGGGATCCTAACCCGCGGCCCTGGTGCTATCAGCACCGCACTCTCCTGAGTGAGCCACCGGCTGGCCCAAAAAACCTTTCTTAAGCTACTTAAAATACCCTTATTCTACTATTCAAAGGGCTAAGGCAGCTGAATAACAATAGTTTATTTTATTTTTATTTTTATTTTTTTTGAAAAGATGACTGGTAAGGGGATCTCAACGCTTGGCTTGGCGTTGTCAGCACCACGCTCAGCCAGTGAGCCAACCGGCCATCCTTATATAGGATCCAAACCCGTGGCCTTGGTGTTATCAGCACCGCACTCTCCCGAGTGAGCCACGGGCCGGCCCTGAATAACAATAGTTTAGAAGGGCCATTTGCAGAGGTAGGAAGAATAGGATGGAAGGCTTTTCCTTATAGTCTTAGGATTGCCCATTTCCCAGCAGGTAAGTGTGTTAACTTTCAATCAAGATTGCAAGTAAAGGAACAGTAAGTTTTTACTATATCCTAAAGGCTTTCTGTCATTTTTCTGTGAAAAGGAAGGGTCCATCTGGCGCTAGCTGTGCTAACAGTGGTGCTGCTATGTAGTAATTAATGAAATAGAATAATCATATTTCCTTTCTTTCCTGAACAAATATTTATTGATCATCTGCTGTTTGTCAGGCTCTGTCTGGGCTTTGGAGAAACAGAAGTGAAAAAGTAGATCAGATTTCTGTCCTTATGGCTCATGGAGGACTGAGACAATAAAGAAGTAAATAAGAAATACACCATAATATAAGATAGTGATTTCAGGTAGGGGTCTGGGACAGAGTGGTTGGGAGTAAGGGAGGGGATGGCTCCTTTAGATAAT